CGTGTCACAACCCAAATAAGGTATTGATTTATTCATCTATACATGTAGCAACGTTCTATTCATAGATTTGCTCAGAGATACATTCAGATGTGCAGAGCACAGATATCGACCACAGTGATCAGTTTGGATATATCCATTGATCTATGCAGATGCCCTGTGCAGTGGTTTATTTAGAGGTTTATCCAAATATATGTAGCAGTGACCATAATAATGAATAATGTGAGCAAAAGAGATTAATAATCAAATAGCCCATTGATTTATTCAGATATATGTAGCAATGATCGACTGATTGATATACTCAGAGATCATTCAGATATCTTGTGCAGTGATTTATTCAGATATCTGTAGCAATGATCGACTGATTGATATACTCAGAGATCAATTCAGATATCTTGTGCAGTGATTTATTCAGATGTCTGTAGCAATGATCGACTGATTGATATACTCAGAGATCAATTCAGATATTTTGTGCAGTGATTTATTCAGATATCTGTAGCAATGATCGACTGATTGATATACTCAGAGATCAATTCAGATATTTTTTGCAGTGCTTAATTCAGATATCTGCAGCAATGATCGACTGATTGATATACTCAGAGATCATTTTAGATATCTTGTGCAGCGCTTTATTCAGATATCTGTAGCAATGATCGACTGATTGATATACTCAGAGATCAATTCAGATATTTTGTGCAGTGCTTAATTCAGATATCTGCAGCAATGATCGACTGATTGATATACTCAGAGATCAATTCAGATATCTTGTGCAGTGATTTATTCAGATGTCTGTAGCAATGATCGACTGATTGATATACTCAGAGATCAATTCAGATATTTTGTGCAGTGATTTATTCAGATATCTGTAGCAATGATCGACTGATTGATATACTCAGAGATCAATTCAGATATTTTTTGCAGTGCTTAATTCAGATATCTGCAGCAATGATCGACTGATTGATATACTCAGAGATCATTTTAGATATCTTGTGCAGCGCTTTATTCAGATATCTGTAGCAATGATCGACTGATTGATATACTCAGAGATCAATTCAGATATTTTGTGCAGTGCTTAATTCAGATATCTGCAGCAATGATCGACTGATTGATATACTCAGAGATCAATTCAGATATTTTGTGCAGTGCTTTATTCAGATATCTGTAGCAATGATCGACTGATTGATATACTCAGAGATCAATTCAGATATTTTGTGCAGTGCTTAATTCAGATATCTGCAGCAATGATCGACTGATTGATATACTCAGAGATCAATTCAGATATTTTGTGCAGTGCTTAATTCAGATATCTGCAGCAATGATCGACTGATTGATATACTCAGAGATCAATTCAGATATTTTGTGCAGTGCTTTATTCAGATATCTGTAGCAATGATCGACTGATTGATATACTCAGAGATCATTTTAGATATCTTGTGCAGTGATTTGTTCAGATGTCTGTCTCAGAGATCTATTCAGAGGTATGTCGGGTGTAAATAACAGTGATCATTGTTTGATGTAGATCATGATTTATAAACGGGCTGTCTTTGTTTGTAATTATTTACTAATAATGGTTTTTAAAACTACATCATTCAATGTCATTTGTGGACCTTCCAATTTAACTTTTGATTTGTTTCACATTCAAAGATTAAACTAGCTAATTCACAATGATAACCGGTGAACAAGATAATTGGGGAAAACTATTTTCTTGGAATTCTTGAAATTAATCAATAAAAAAATATCTGAAAGTGAAAAAATAAACAATGATTATTAAATTCCTATTATTGTTACTATTGAATAGGAATTCATAAACACAAGATTATCTTATACATTAATAATCTTCCAATGGACTGTTAGTGAATATTTCGGATCGGATGATGTGACAATGGTCTCGTTGCTTTAAACACTGCGATTTGAATACATGCACTGTGGGTTTGAACCTAAAACGTATAAACATACTGAAGTACAAAAGTAAGTACACATCTGGTTATTTTCCGAGAAACACAAAACCGTAAGTGTGCCCCTAAAGGATCGATAGGCCCGGATGCCGACAGTACGCAGTCCTCTCATCCTTGTCCTGTGTTGCTGCTGATGCGGTGACGCAACGCTGTTGATGCTGTTGACGTCAATGTGAACATCCGGCTGTGTCGATGGAGTATGCACAGATGATGGTCATCTTGAAGGGTGGTCGTTCTTGGTATTCCGGTTCTGGGACCGTCCGATGTATAGCCAGCCTGGTCCGATGATGTTCTGTACCCCATCCACGATATTCCAATGGCTCGTTCTCGCTCCGCTGCTGATAACCTTGGTATTTTGACGAGTGCCTTTAACAGGTATAGCACTAACAATGTCTGTCGACTGTGTTATACACGGTTGGTATGCAAGTGCGATTGAACAAAATCACTAGGTATGCCACGATAGATCACAGGTGTTTCACGATGCGATACTCATCTCGATACTGAGGTAACGACATGTTACTATCGCGATACTGCATTTACGACATTTTGCGCGTAACAAGCAGCCATAGACTAATGCTTAGTCTCTGAATATAATGATTTTGATAGTAACAAATAAACCCAGTTCAATTGAAAAGGAGCCCCAGTGAGCGGGGGGATTCCTGAACCAGGGGAAATCTAGACTTGCTTCATTTAGAGCTTTCGTATTGCAGGGAGGACCAGGCAGTCGGGAAAATAATGTGGTTCAGGTACTGTGAGATAAGCAACAAGCAGCCATTACCTGGATGGCAGGCTCATACCATAGCTTATCAGTGTACAAATAGTCACGGTATGGCTGAAACATTGCCGATGTGATGTCAAATATTACCTCACTATAGCTCACTCACCAGTCCCCAAATACCTGTTAACAGTTAACCTAACTCATATTTTATAGGGATTACCAGAGAAAGGACAACTGACCATCAGCCAAGTACCAATCAACCACACACACCATGTCAAGTAATGTTTGTTCTTTGTAAGAAAATTACAAGAGACAATGTGATAGCTCACTGTTTTATAATCTGTACTGTTTGTATTTGACAAAACAAGAAATGTGAATCATTAACATAATCATTCTGAATCGATAATAAAACAAACGAATGAATCGGGCATCGTATCGTTCTCGTGAAAGGTGATGCACCAGTACATCGGTGAACCATGACCTTTACTGGCGGGCGGGTGGGTGGGTGGAGTGATCGGGCGGGCGGATGGGTGGGTGGGTGATCGGGGCAGGAAGGTGGGCGGGTGATCGGGTGGGTGGGTGATCGGGCCGGCAGGAAGGTGATCGAGCGGGTGGGTGGGTGGGTGATCGGGCGGGTGGGTGATCGGGCGGGCAGGAAGGTGATTGGGCGGGCGGATGGGTGGGTGGGTGATCGGGCCTGCAGGAAGGTGATCGAGCGGGTGGGTGGGTGATCGGGCAGGTGGGTGATCGGGCGGGCAGGAAGGTGATTGGGCGGGCGGATGGGTGGGTGGGTGATCGGCCGGGCGGGAAGGTGGGCGGGTGATCGGGCGGGCAGGAAGGTGATCGGGCGGGCGGATGGGGGGTGGGTGATCTGGGGGTGGGTGATCTGGCGGGCAGAAAGGTGGGGCGGGTGATCGGGCGGGCAGGGAGGTGGGCGGGTGATCGGGCGGGCAGGAAGGTGATCGGTCGGGTGGGTGGGTGGGTGGATGATCGGGCAGGCAGGAAGGTGGGCGGGTGATCGGGTGGGTGGGTGATCGGGCGGGCAGGAAGGTGATCGGGCTGGCAGGAAGGTGGGCGAGTGATCGGGCGGGCAGGAAGGTGATCGGGCGGGCGGGGTGGGAGGGTGATCGGGCGGGCAGGAAGGTGGGCGGGTGATCGGATGGGTGGGTGATCGGGCGGGCGGGTGGTGATCGGGCGGGCGGGTGGGGTGGGTGGTATCGGGCGGGCAGGAAGGTGATCGGGCGGGTGATCGGATGGGTGGGTGATCGGGCGGGCAGGAAGGTGATCGGGCGGGCGGATGGGTGGGTGGGTGATCGGGCGGGCAGGAAGGTGGGCGGGTGATCGGATGGGTGGGTGATCGGGCGGGCAGGAAGGTGATCGAGCGGGTGGGTGGGTGGGGGTGATCGGGCGGGCAGGAAGGTGGGCGGGTGATCGGTAGGGTGGGTGATCGGGCGGGCAGGAAGGTGGGCGAGTGATCGGGCGGGCGGGTATGTGGATGATCGGGCGGGTATGTGGATGATCGGGCGGCTTGACTAAGTGAGTGCGCGAGCGAGTGAGTGGGTCAGTCGGTCAGTCAGTCAGTCAGTCGGTCAATCAGTTAAGATTTTAAGTCCCATCGGCAATATTTTAGCCATATGACATCACTCACCGGTATCCAAATTACACTGGAGGCAGAACGAGCCGGAATACTGTCGGAATGAACATGTTTAAGACTTTCGGGGTACATTCGAAGTGGAAAAATATCGAACACAAAAACCCGGCATTTGAAGTGCATTCTAACTGCTTTCTAAGTATTCTTACTGCATTTTAAGTATTCTGAACATATTCGAGGGAGAATGGAAAAGGCAAGCCACTTCAAATACAAATGTACTGTCAGAATTAGATGCTTGATTGGCATTTTAGATGATGCTATTTGATGAACATAGAGATTTTCTGGGTTACATCTTCTTTTTATTCTTGAATGCAACGTTTCAGGGCTTGTTCTGGCCCCATCGTCAGGTAAGACTTGAACAAATCTAGCCCGGATCTTCACGGGTTAATACCACGGAATAAGAGGGATAAAATAAAATAAAAAATAATATAATAAATGAGTCGTGTTTGAAAATACAGTTTAATAGTAATCAATAAAAGCGAAAAAAGTCAATTCTCGGAATATGTACGCATAAACGTTCAGTGCGAACAACACCTTGTTTACAAACACTGCGTTGAGACAGTCACGTACAGGTGACCAATAAAATAGCGAAACGCTTGCGAGGAGGAATCTGATTGGCTGCATCAATCTTAGAGTGTCCACAAGCCTCTTCCTGGACGTCAGCATGGGTCATGGGGTTAGTGTTTATAACAGCTCGTCCTCAAGTACTTGTGTCATCCCGAGGGCACCTCATCTTTGCTGAATCGTATTCTTCACAGTAAGTGTAATTTTCGTGTTTAGTGAGATTGATAATGATATTAATCATGAAGACATTTTAAAGTGGTGTATATATTATACTGTTGATGGAGTTTCAGCACACGCTTAGCGCCATGTTAGTATAATAAGTGGTGACATTAAAAAAGTACTTTTAAAAGTCGTACATATCAGATAGAGTATTACACTGTTTTAATGTACTACATTACATTACAAAAAGATTTAAAAGTGATATATAATACATGCTGTTTTTGTAGAGTTTTAGTGAACACTGTTTTAGAGAAATGGATGACATTTATAAGACATTTGGGAGTTGTAAATATCAGATGGAGTATGACACTGTTTTAATGTAACACATGCCATTATAAAAAGATTTAAGAGTGGTATATATACCATGCTGTCTTAATGGAGTTTTAGTGGACACTGTTTTAGGGAAATAGATGACAGTTATAAGACACTTGAGAATTGTACATTTCAAATGAGTATCACACTGTTTTAATGAAATACATGCCATTATAAAGTGATATACATAATATGCTGTTTTCATGGAGTTTTGGTGGACACTGTTTTAGAGAAATGACATTAACTTCAAATACATTAATAGTTGTATACAAGATGCAGTTTTACGGAATATTCGTACAGAACTGTTTTGATTTTGATTTTTTTATCATATTCATATTGTATTTTATTTCATACTTTAGCTGTTTCAACAAGGGTGTCTCATGGGTTAAATATGGCTGTATATTTTCTTCTACTAAACGTAGAACTGCTTCAGAGTAGGAATGTTAATGTTAGCATACGTTTGTTTAGTGCTTTTTTAGCTAAACTTAATCACTCTGCACACGTCTCATGTAGGGTTAGTCCATCCTGATAAAGGTCCAAGTTCGATTCCAACACTGGTACAATGTGTGTCTGTTTTGGTGTCCACGAAGTGATATTACTGGAATGTTGCTAAGTTAGGTATAAAACCATTTTCATTCACACACTCTCGTAAACAAACCATGTTCCATTGTCTGTCTTTACTACGTCTAAGCCTAGAGGTTCAGAGGTAAATAATATCAGCAGGAACAATGCAGGAATATTGCTAAAAGCGGCGTAATCCATACTCATGCACTCGTTATGTCTGTATTTCCGATATCCATGATTATTACTTATAGGTAGTATTTTTCCTGTACCACGATTGGTCAAAAGACCGTCACATGATTGACTACAAAACACGATATTGACTTGAGTTTTCTGATAAATTACGATATTGACTTGGGTTACTAAAATAGACAAGGAATCCCGTACGAAGGGGCTTCCCCCGCTTTTCAGCCAATCAGATCACTCGGATAGATGGCACAATGTGTGCATTAAAAAGTTTATGTTAAAACCCGTTTCTCTTTCATTATATAATAAAACAATTATAGACTCTTGTAGAGGTCGATATCGGTTTTATTGACCTGAGAAAAACAATATCGACCTTTAGAAGCTCAGTCGATATCGTTTTACTCAGGTCAATAAAACCGATATCGACCTCTACAAGAGTCTCTAATTGTATAATAGTGCTATGAGCATACACTTTGTGTCTGGATTTGGCGCATTATAAATGTACATATTATTATTATTATTATTATTATTATTATTTATCCAAGTTAAGGTATCAGGACAGTTCGATCCTGTTTCGGAAATTGCGTTTCCGCTTTTCAATCATACCAACCAAAAGTCCATGTTAAGTTTGAGCATGAATTTTGAGAATACAAAGAGGCATTTAAGTTTTTGAGTTTGTATTAACCAGGCATGAGAAGAGCCAATTTCAGTCTTGGAGGAAATGTATTACAAGTGCCATCGGCCCCCCTTAAAATCTAAAAAATGGCCCAAATTGATATGTAAATCACGGAAATCCGCGGAAAATGTATTATGAAGTCTTTCGCAGAAAGAGAGTTAGGCTAAAATGGTTTGTCTGTGTGTTGAGCAGGTGTCCTGTTGTCCGCGACCATGGCGAGTCTCAAGCGTCTGGAGAGTGTCAGAAAGTTGCAAGAGATGCACAAAGAGTCAACTGGAGCACTCAGTTTCTCGCAAAAACTATGTGCCTGTCTGATCGGAAGTTGCACATGTGGTATGTAAATACACTGTTGTGTCGAACTTTGCGCTGTCGAACAATCGGTTGAGTCCAAGTATTTAGTTTGGTCCCTGTGTAATCCTTCTGTTAATCATCATCCATGTTGTGCTACGGATAACTCGAAGTATTTAGTTTGGTCCCTGTGTATTCCTTCTTTTAATCATCATCCATTTCTAGCTACGGATAACTCGAAGTATTAGTTTGGTCCCTGTTTATTCCTTCTTTTAATCATCATCTATGTTGTGCTACGGATAATTCGAAGTATTTAGTTTGGTCCCTGTGTATTCCTTCTTTTAATCATCATCCATTTCGAGCTACGGATAACTCGAAGTATTTAGTTTGGTCCCTGTGTATTCCTTCTGTGTACTCTCTGCTGATTTACCTGTGAAGTTGACAAGTCAGGCTAGACAAACTCATCTTCGATCATCTCCAGGGTATATAATAAGATAAATGTTCACTAGTAGAGATTTATCGGAACATATACCCTGGAGATGATCGAGGATGAAACAAACCTTGCTCACCTAACCTTCTTTTTCAAGTTCTGTTACGACCTCGTTGTCGGAAGTTGATACTTGGGCATGACCGCCTTGAAGGTCATCACAGGAAGTAATCGCTCTGGCGTAAGTGCTTCCGGGTGATGCTATAGGTGAAGTCAAGTCATATGTCGCAATGAATTTCAGCGAGAAACATCGGGAACCTTTTAAAAATTACTGTTTGTTCCTCATTTTGAGTTGTATCACAACCGCGTTGTTGTTTTTTTCCAGGCTAACTGTTAAATAAAATTTTGCATTTGCGGGTGTCACCGATGGAGTCAGTGATCTTTTCACTACTGTCATCACTATTTGATATTTATAAACACATGACCAGGGGAGACAACTCATCGGTCATGCGTAACTCAATATCACTAACTACTGCATGCTGGCATATGACGGAATCATAAATAGACTTTGAGTAAAGATGTACTATGATCATAAAAATGACTTTGTCGCACTTTAAATGTGAAATTTATGTAACATTCTATATTAATAATGACTATGCTGTTATCAGTTATATTTATGTTTGAACATTAGCGATGCATCCAGTTTTATAAAATGTAAGCTGTGTATTTTTCTATCCTAAAGAAAATGTGTTGCAAAGAAAAGAATTATATGTTTTGATGCAGCGATCAATAGGGTGTTCCGTCCTAACCAAAGCTCCAGCCTACAATGATCTTGTACGAGGGACAGTCAAAAAGTAGTGAGCCTGACCTAGTAAATGATACAAATGCAGCTGTTTTTATGTTTTATTTTTCTACATATTATCTGTCAACTTCAAGCAAATTGGTTTTGCTACGTTCCAGCCTTACGATCCCCATTTTGTTTGAAATTTTATCTTGGTACCCCCCAAAAGCGCAAAATCTGCAATAAATGCACCACAAACTTCAGGTAACAAAATATGCAAGAAACATTTTATGTGTTTGAGATAGGTAGACGTCCGCTAGAATCAAACTTAGATATTAAAGTGGATAAAAAAGCAATTTGAAAGTACAATCGCTTGTTAAAGTGATTCCCCTTTCATGTTTACTGAAACAGCTTGTTTTGGAGACACTACCCGCCCCCGTTCAGACGACGAATTCATAAGGACATAACTTATTCTAATGTTTTCACTTTTTCACACATGATGCTAAAGGTTCAAAGTAAATACTGAATGGTCACACAAGTGTCAACTCTCAGTATATTGTAAACAGGGCCAGCTTGAATATCTGGACACAATGTTTTTGAAAGACTAAAATGGGTGTGTCCTTAAAAAACAGCCCTGTCTAAACATAAATCAAGCAATCCAAATCTTTGAATGTTGATTATGACGGGAAGTCATCCAATACTTTACTAACATATATTTTATATGACATTATCTGAGGGCATACCATTATCCAAGAGGTACTAAATGACGGATCGTTTTCCATTTTCTACACTTTTTCTAGAAATAGTATACCCCAATGTGTTGTGATGACTAATATCTCGTTAATCACATTACCCACATATGTGAATTTTTTTTATACGACTTTACTAATGATTCCTACAAACTAAAATGGAAGCTTTTCAAACATTGGACATCGAGAATATAGTTAGGCTACGTACTTTTTGACCGACCCTCGTACCACCAGTACGCATGTGTAGAAACAAATTGTTGTTGTTTTTTCAACTTCAGGACATTTTTTTTCCTTTTTTTTTCGTCAGTCATACTTAATTCCAAAGATCATCAAACATCGGTAGAAAGTGAAATACGTCTATGTTATAATCCGTGAAGATCCAGGCTACAACTGGTATTAGACAATCCATGCCTACCGTTAGAGGAGGCTAGGGGAATCGGGTGGTCAGGCTCGCTGACTTGGTTGATACATGTCATCTTGTCCCAGCTGGGTAGATCGATGCTCATGATGTTAATCACTAGATTGTCTGATCCAAATTCGATTATTTACAGACCTCTTTCATGGAGCTCGAAAACAAACATGTATTTTGATATGGATTTAGGCGCTTGTATTGTACGTGTAAATATACGATGACAATAATGCATTCTGCAATGGATGTGCTTCTTCCGGCAACCGGTTGACATAATGTTTTAATCAGTATCCAGATAAAATGTGCATGTGTTTGTCAAATTAATTAAAGCGACAAAGCCATTTTCTTCATCGTCAGAAATCGCTGGAGAGAGCAGCTTGTACGATTCAACTATCCATAAGAGTTTATGAAACACTATCAAATGATGATGATACACAGTGCTGACGAAAGATTGAGCTTATCTTGTCCCATCGGTGACTCACGATACAATCCTTGTTCACCTGATTATTATTTATAAAAATTAAAAAATAAAAAAAACGAAAAAACGGTAACATATAGTACAGGGCAAAATCAGGAACTCCATAACTGATATTGTTCACTGATGCCACAAATTAGCTAGCATCTTCCACCTGTCAGCCACAAGCATTCCGAAAGCTTTCCTGAAGCCTTGAATGTAACGTTGATCAAACATCGTTTCAGCAAGGCATGGCCCTCCTTGAAGTTTCGGAGAAAGCGCATGCTTGTTGTACCTAAAATGTTGTGAATTGTGGACATCAACGCGAAAGTTGACTAACAGAAAATGAAAACACTGGTCACTAACAGCTGATTTGCTTTCTTTATATTACAGCCATATTTTGCATAGTCATTGTGTTATGCGTTGCTGGATTTGCCCTCAACATTGCCAAGATTTCTGTGGGTAAGTATCAACAGATGTACTCTAACCAGCACGGACTTGTGGGAACTGTAAACAAATGTATATTTGCAGCTGTATCGAACTGTATTTCCAAATTACCATGACGTTTGTACTAAAATAACGAAGAGGTGGAAGAGACCTTTACACTGTAGAGTGTAGATTCGGCCAGTTTGGAATGAAATGACATGATTCTTTAAGCATTAACACAACCCTGCCTTTTCCCAATGCATGAAGTAGATTCACATGTATGACTGTTACACTCTAAAATATCAACTTTCCTTACGAGAGTGGCGGTTGGGTATCCCAACGGTTAAAGTGTTCGCTCGTCCCGCTGTAGACCTGGGTTCGATTCCCAACACGGGTACAATGTGTGAAGCCCATTTCTGGTATCCCCCGCCGTGATATTGCTGGAATATTGCTAAAAGCGGCGTAAAACCATACTCACTCACTCCTTTATAAGAAAAGGTACACATCATTTACGCAAGAAATGAGGCATAGGGTCATCGGATCAATGTGCCCTGGATATTCATTCTCCGATCCAGGGGAGCCTTTACCCATGAGCCGTGATTGGCTTGATTTGATTGGTACTTCACGCCATACACGGCAATATTCTGGACCAGACAATACAGTGATCAACAGCATGAGCATTGACCTACGCAGTTTGGATACGATGACATGTGTCAACCTAGTCGGCGAGCCTGACTACCCGATCCCGTTTGTAGCCTCTTAAGACAAGCATGGCTTGCTATAGACAAATTCTAACCCGGATCTTCACGGGAACTCTAGATGAACAGAGGCATATGTAGTAAGGGAATGAAGTTCTAAGACATTGTATTAACATATTTAACGTTCAGTTTATTCATACGTACTTTCTCCACAGGTGCGTACTACTTCCATGAATGTCCAGCCCAGTCCCTGGTGCCCATCTTCCTCATTGTGGGCGGAGTCATCACTCTCGCTGTCAACTGTACATGTCGGCCTTCCAAAGACGAGTCGGGCGAGGTTAAAATGGCCTGTGATGGTTGTGGCGCAGTTGGTTGGGTTGATCGTTGCGGTCTTCAGCTTTTGCTGGTTGATCGTGGGTAGGTATTTCTTGGTGTGGCCCATATGTGATATCTCACCAAACCAAACCGTGAAGGTCCGGGTTAGAATTTATCTTCACTCACCCATGCTTGTCGTAAGAGCCGACTAAAAGGATCGGGGTGTAAGACTCGCTGGCTTGGTTGACACATGTCATCATATCCCAGTTCAGGGGCGTAGGAACAGTGTGTGTGTGTGTGTGTGTGTGTGTGTGTGTGTGTGTGTGTGTGTGTGTGTGTTTTCAATACGAAACCATATCTAGCTTACCATAACTACAATCTCATTTTGATTTTCAATACTTTTCATAAAATTAAGTTTGGAAATGCAGAACGTTTACTTTTTAAGTAATTATGTTGACCATGTCTATCAACCCATGCCACAATACAGTTCGTTTCATTTCTCTTGCAGGTACTGTGTATGTCATTCGCACTTCAAATGAAATAGAAACCTGCCAAGCGACACTTCCAACGACGACGTCAACGGCAATCCCCGACTTCAATGCCACTTCAACGTCAACGCCCGCAAACCCTTGTCCCTCCTGTAATGAGACCCTGCTGAATTTTGCTTATGGCATAGTTATCACAGAATGGTGCTTGTTGGGAACGTTGTTTTTGTTTATATTCATCTACAGCTGTGCATTATGCTTTGGACGTACATGTCTTGCAATGAATAACGAGTGAATACTGCTTGAAATGTGATAAATGTAATTATACGTTAACAAACACAATGAAATTAACGATGACGGACTGAAACCGACTCAAGGCTGTAAACCCTAAGACCTTTACAGATTGTATCAATGGACTGACTGACTGACTGAGTTTAGTTTTACGCCGCTTTTAGCAATATTCCAGCTATATGGCGGCGGTCTGTAAATAATCGAGTCTGGACTAGACAATCCAGTGATCAACAGCATGAGCATCGATCTACGCAATGGGAACCGATGACATGTGCCTACCAAGCCAGCGAGTCTGACACCCGATCCCATTAGTCGCCTCTTACGACATGCATGGGTTACTGATGGTTCATTCTAACCCGGACCTTCACGGGTCGTATCAATGGCTGAAATATTTTTGTCGTCCGTATGAAATGGCATTGTAGAAAATTTCGATATCGTAGATGTATTATATATATTACTGATTGTCGTCCGATTTCGCTAATGCTTGCATGGGTACTTCCTCTTGCGAGCATCTTTTGGGGATGGAGTGGGTGCCTCCTTTTTATGGTAATCCTTTTGAGGGATTGGGTGGGCGCATCTACCTGCAGCTAATGTTTGTTGTGGTATGAATGTGTATGGTTTTACGCCGCTTTCAGCAATAATCCAGCAATATCATGGCGGGAAACACCTGAAATGGGCTTCACACATTTTACCCATGTGGGGCATCGAACGCTGGTCTTCAGCGTGATGAGCGAACGCTTTAACCACTTTCCTACCCACTGCCCCTACACAAATATGTACCACGTCTGGTTAGGTGTACTTAAGGGTATCATAAGTGCGATCTTAATTACGAATGTAAATAATAGTGCTGCGCAATATAACCGGTTTACCGGTTCAGACATGAAAACGATACGTATTGCGATACGCTGATTGATAACCTGTATTTTGACATGCATTCGGAAAACTTCGTTACACTCGGAAATCCTTCGGATATTTCCGTTTTTAAGTTGTTCCTTTCCATTTTTATTTGTGCCAAATATGATGATTTACATTTGTTTTTGTCATGATTAAAAGTTTTTATTAAATCTTAATCAAGAATAGTGATTTTGTTGTGTTTTTGCTTTATAAATCAAGCATTAACTCGATTATATGTAGTTTTTTGTTGAAAAATACTTCTTGCAATATCTTGCAATACATATCGCAATATACGCTTTTGCATCGCACAATATCGCAATATGAAAATTCTCTGCAATACCCACCCGTAGTAAATAAAATGGGACCTATCGGAACCTCAAAAGTTTCTGTTGTGTGTGTGTGTGTGTGTGTGTGTGTGTGTGTGGACAAATATCACAAACGGCTCTGTTAATTGTTAATTATGATGAGAGCAAGTTTATACTACTATGCTGCATATTTTCATTTGATATTAAGCACCAATGGGTGCTACCGTTACTTTCGTCCAATAGCTGCGTTCGAGAAATATCGTATTATTTAGGTAGTGACAGGAGCCTCGTGCTATTCCGGGTCAAGCTGATGACTCGTGTCGTGGCCGTATTTCTGACTTGGTTCCGTCTAAGCACAAGCGTGCATATCTAAAGGAAATCCTTCTTGTTGGGACTGTGGCCAGGTGGTGGGACCAGCATCTTGCTGTAATGATTCACATATATCTACTCCATGACTCGCATGTATTGCTGTTTACAACACATCGAGCTTAAACGTGTGTACAGTATGAGTGAAAACTAATGAACTGGATCTTGGGTATATTTTTCAATACAAGGCGTATATAAAGAACAAAATATTCCTGGAAAATTCTTTGGCCGAATTACTTGCAGTCATACGCGTATGTTGATTGACTTGGCATGTTTTCGAACATAACTTTAATCATATGGAGATAAACAGAACAGGATAAACAGAACACCACAAGAAGTGCAAGTCAGGATAAAACAGGGTAAACATAACTCTCCGTGAGTGTAGGACTGGGTAAACAAATCCCCCGTGATGGGAAAGATAGGACAATTTAACACTCCATGAAGGGCATGACAGGGTGCACGCTACACAGAACACATCATGAAGGACAAAACTGGGTGCACACTACAAAGAACACCTCATGAAGGGCAAGACAGGGTACACACTACACAGAACACCTCATCAAGAGCAAGACAGGGTACACACTACACAGAACACCTCATGAAGGGCAAGACAGGGTACACACTACACAGAACACCCCATGAAGGACAAGACAGGGTACACACTACACAGAACACCTCATGAAGGGCAAGACAGGGTACACACTACACAGAACACCTCATGAAGGGCAAGACAGGGTACACACTACACAGAACACCTCATGAAGGGCAAGACAGGGTACACACTACACAGAACACCTCATGAAGGACAAGACAGGGTACACACTACACAGAACACCTCACAAAGGACAAGACTGGGTGCACACTACAAAGAACACCTCATGAAGGGCAAGACAGGGTACACACTTCACAGAACACCTCATCAAGGGCAAGACAGGGTACACACTACACAGAACACCTCATCAAGGGCAAGACAGGGTACACACTACACAGAACACCTCACAAAGGACAAGACTGGGTGCACACTACAAAGAACACCTCATGAAGGGCAAGACAGGGTACACACTTCACAGAACACCTCATCAAGGGCAAGACAGGGTACACACTACACAGAACACCTCATCAAGGGCAAGACAGGGTACACACTACACAGAACACCTCACAAAGGACAAGACTGGGTGCACACTACAAAGAACACCTCATGAAGGGCAAGACAGGGTACACACTTCACAGAACACCTCATCAAGGGCAAGACAGGGTACACACTACACAGAACACCTCATCAAGGGCAAGACAGGGTACACACTACACAGAACACCTCATGAAGGACAAGACAGGGTACACACTACACAGAACACCTCATGAAGGGCAAGACAGGGTACACACTACACAGAACACCTCATGAAGGACAAGACAGGGTACACACTACACACAACACCTCATGAAGGACAAGACAGGGTACACACTACACAGAACACCTCACGAAGGACAAGACGGTACACACTACACAGAACACCTCATGGAGGACAAGACAGGGTACACATTACACAGAACACCTCATGAAGGGCAAGACGTATGAAATGGCATTGTAGAAAATTTCGATATCGTAGATGTATTATATATATTACTGATTGTCGTCCGATTTCGCTAATGCTTGCATGGGTACTTCCTCTTGCGAGCATCTTTTGGGGATGGAGTGGGTGCCTCCTTTTTATGGTAATCCTTTTGAGGGATTGGGTGGGCGCATCTACCTGCAGCTAATGTTTGTTGTGGTATGAATGTGTATGGTTTTACGCCGCTTTCAGCAATAATCCAGCAATATCATGGCGGGAAACACCTGAAATGGGCTTCACACATTTTACCCATGTGGGGCATCGAACGCTGGTCTTCAGCGTGATGAGCGAACGCTTTAACCACTTTCCTACCCCACTGCCCCTACACAAATATGTACCACGTCTGGTTAGGTGTACTTAAGGGTATCATAAGTGCGATCTTAATTACGAATGTAAATAATAGTGCTGCGCAATATAACCGGTTTACCGGTTCAGACATGAAAACGATACGTATTGCGATACGCTGATTGATAACCTGTATTTTGACATGCATTCGGAAAACTTCGTTACACTCGGAAATCTTCGGATATTTCCGTTTTTTAAGTTGTTCCTTTCCATTTTTTATTTGTGCCAAATATGATTTACATTTGTTTTTTGTCATGATTAAAAGTTTTTATTAAATCTTAATCAAGAATAGTGATTTTGTTGTGTTTTTGCTTTATAAATCAAGCATTAACTCGATTATATGTAGTTTTTTGTTGAAAAATACTTCTTGCAATATCTTGCAATACATATCGCAATATACGCTTTTGCATCGCACAATATCGCAATATGAAAATTCTCTGCAATACCCACCCGTAGTAAATAAAATGGGGACCTATCGGAACCTCAAAAGTTTCTGTTGTGTGTGTGTGTGTGTGTGTGTGTGTGGACAAATATCACAAACGGCTCTGTTAATTGTTAATTATGATGAGAGCAAGTTTATACTACTATGCTGCATATTTTCATTTGATATTAAGCACCAATGGGTGCTACCGTTACTTTCGTCCAATAGCTGCGTTCGAGAAATATCGTATTATTTAGGTAGTGACAGGAGCCTCGTGCTATTCCGGGTCAAGCTGATGACTCGTGTCGTGGCCGTATTTCTGACTTGGTTCCGTCTAAGCACAAGCGTGCATATCTAAAGGAAATCCTTCTTGTTGGGACTGTGGCCAGGTGGTGGGACCAGCATCTTGCTGTAATGATTCACATATATCTACTCCATGACTCGCATGTATTGCTGTTTACAACACATCGAGCTTAAACGTGTGTACAGTATGAGTGAAAACTAATGAACTGGATCTTGGGTATATTTTTCAATACAAGGCGTATATAAAGAACAAAATATTCCTGGAAAATTCTTTGGCCGAATTACTTGCAGTCATACGCGTATGTTGATTGACTTGGCATGTTTTCGAACATAACTTTAATCATATGGAGATAAACAGAACAGGATAAACAGAACACCACAAGAAGTGCAAGTCAGGATAAAACAGGGTAAACATAACTCTCCGTGAGTGTAGGACTGGGTAAACAAATCCCCCGTGATGGGAAAGAGAGGACAATTTAACACTCCATGAAGGGCATGACAGGGTGCACGCTACACAGAACACCTCATGGAGGACAAGACAGGGTACACACTACACAGAACACCTCATGAAGGGCAAGACAGGGTACACACTACACAGAACACCTCATCAAGGGCAAGACAGGGTACACACTACACAGAACACCTCATGAAGGACAAGACAGGGTACATACAACACAGAACACCTCATGAAGGACAAGACAGGGTACACACTACACAGAACACCTCATGCAGGACAAGACAGGGTACACACTACACAGAACACCTCATGAAGGGCAAGACAGGGTACACACACAAACAGAACACCTCATGAAGGGCAAGACAGGGTGCACACTACACAGAACACCTCATGGAGGACAAGACAGGGTACACACTACACAAACACCTCATGAAGGACAAGACAGGGTACACACTACACAGAACACCTCATGAAGGACAAGACAGGGTACACACTACACAGAACACCCTCATGAAGGACAAGACAGGGTACACACTGCAAAGA